ATGTGGACTGCTGTATCAGTTGCACAAGGAGATGTATGTGAATTGGATGAAGATAAAAACGTGCTTGTTTATCTGCACCGGTTACAAAAGAACTGTTCTTATTGTACAATTTTCTTTTGTCAGCTGATTTAATGCAACAATTTGATCAAACATAGTTATTTTCGTGATTATTTCAAATGTTTGCTAACCTTAGAATTTGTACTCATAAAGGTTTGGGAGGAAACAAGGAATTACTAATGTTTTATGACGTTCCAATACGTTCAAGCTGTGATATATATTCTACGTGAGCTGAGAGACATTTATTAAGACGAGTGAACCGAATTGGACGATTCTTTTTTTGTTGTGTTCCTTAGTGCCAGGGGAAGGTTTTTATGTAAAGAAAATGTATAATCCATCCAACCGTTATTGAGTTAAAAAAAATTGTTTTAAAAAATTCAAAAAATGTTTTCATTAAACTGTGGGATACAATAACAAGTGTTAAAAAGTGTTAATTTTCAAATAAAACCTGAAGGCGAGTGAGCACAGCAAACGAGCTCATCTTCAAAATAAACTAGAGTTTGAAATAAAACCACATTAGGACAGGACGACGTCTGTCGGGCCAGCTAGTGCTAAATAAAATTTGTTTCAACAAAGCACAATGAAATATAAATATAGATGAAGATATTCCGCATAAAAGTAAGATAATTTAGAAGTGAGGGTGAAATTGTATCAAAATACTATATAGTTTTTTATACGAACATTAAACAAGTCTTAAATCAAAACTTCAGCTTTTTAACTAAACCAGTATCCAGTACACAGTAGAATGTAACTTTTTAGTTTACAATCTTATTATTAAATCTTTTAAACTAATCGAAATCCTCTATCTTATGATAACCAAAAAGCCTACAACTAAACTTCCAGAGTTAAATCCATTAGAAACGTGGTAAAAGATGATGGACGACGGAAAGAAAGCGGTTGAAAGATTATTCAAGATAAAAGCTGTTCCAAAGACGTTGTTGATTACTCTGTGGTAGCGTTCTCTATGAACCTCAAGAAGAAAGGTCAGCTCCACATTTTCAATCACAATCTAATTAGGAATAACTTCTAAAATTAGTGGATATCTTCTATCTATCCTTTATTATTATTTCCACAATCCTATAACATGTTTTCCTGAGATAAAATGCATTAGTAACGATGACTCAAAACGATGGCTTAAGAAAACAACAAAATTAAAACCGTGGAAAGATTCTTGATTAGGTTGTGTCACAGATATCAGCGCATCATCAAGATTAGGGCCTACTCTATGGCGTCGTTCTCTTTTGTGCCGTAAAGGCTGACAAACCACATCCTACCAAAATTTAAGATGATCGAAATCATCTTTCTATTTTAGTATAGTGACCACAAATCCTTTTAAAATTTTCATTGTTCATCAACATGTATTTTACAGATTGCAATGGGAGATTTCCACAATAATTCTTCCAACATCATAAAGTTCACATAACCAAAAATTAGGTTCAATCTTTAATACGTATTTCATAGATAAAGGTAATTTAAAACACGTCAAACGACGACTTTTGAAAACGAAACTCCTGTAAAGCGGTTACAAAATGCATGATTACTGAGCCAAAGATATCATCGCGTTGTCGATTACTCTATGGCGGCGTACTCTGTGTACCGTGCAGACTTCCCGCGCCCGCGGCTACGATCAGCTGTTATGTAGAGTCGGCTGCTGTGCGCTGTGGCTGTGCCGCTAGATCATTTTCACTTATCCTCAGTAAACAGCTCATTACAGTAAGTCATGCTTGATGTACCAGTCGTTAGTGGTGTTACTTTCCAACGCCTGCAGCTACAGTAGCAAGACGATGGGAATGTTTCTTGACAATTCATCACTTAGTGATCGTTAGGGAAGAAGGAAGCGGATAATTAGTGTTAAAAGCTTAACGTATGTCGTATAGGTATACAAAGTGTGGTTGCGGTTGTAAATTATACTGAAACATACTGTATTCCTCCTGTGATTGTTACATTCTCGCTCGATCGTTCGGAAAAGAAAGTAGTCTTTTTGGTGGTTCGAAACTGGACCCAGGTGTCCTTGATCATTGGACATTTAATAAATAGTCTTGGCTAAGGAAACAGTTGAATACACTGGTTATCACACTCTTCCCTCACCTTGATTCATATTAAGCTCAATACATGTACAGTGTGCATACCTATCTCGAGTTGACTGATTGGAAGAAGTGGTGATAAATTGATCGGCCTACGTTACCTATAAGAATCAATCCAAACAAATTGTATCTATCGACACATGATTGTTGAACTAAATATCGTTCTTAAAATTGCAAAATAAAATAAAAATACCCAAAGTGCATAAATTTTAATTATGAGTATTGTTTGTAAAATACTAGATCATAATATATGTGAGATACAGATTATATGTGAGATATATGAAGATAATATATGATAACACGTCACGCTGCTGATCTATGTTGTATATATATTATTTTTTTATATTAAAAAAAAGGTGTTCTGTTCTCTTTGTGCAGGATTCTTAAATGCATTTGTCATTAGTTAAAGTAATTTATATTGGTACGTGGGTACATACATTTCCTTTTAATTAACTTTCTATATTTGACATGTCTCTAAAACATTTCAAATGTAATCCTTTGATATTTTACTTTTTATATTCTGAACCAAGAACAAAAAATATCCAAAAGAATAAACCTAAAAAATACACAAAACAGCGAAAAAAAAACAACACAAAGAAAATCGAAACTACCTGAGTAGGTAAATCACGTTTTTGTTGCGGTCAATTACAGTTGCGAGCACGATTACTAGAAAAAACTGCGAGTGACGCATCAAAGATACGTTTACAGCTGATGTTGTGGCGGGAAACAAAGCAGATCAGCTGACTAAATTCACGTGATCAAGTGAGTAAGAAGGCTATCAGGTGATAGAGGACCTGACTCACTACATCAGCTTCGCATTAGCTGCTTGGCTACGTCATCAAGTAAACAACGTGTCACTTTGCTGTTAAAAAAAGCTGTAAAATCAACACTCATTTGATAGCCACTCTGTTATTTTCCTGTAGAAAATTGAGAAGCCATCATTACCCCTTAAAACCAAGTGCTTTCACGTTTTCCGTATAGCGAACATAAACTAATACTACTTGTTGTACCATGGAGTAACAATAAACATACCGTAACTGTAGTCTACTTCCATATAGATTTTATTTTCTTATAGATGAGCTAAATTCTCTTACAACGTTTTAAGACATGTTTCTGTCCGGTATTAGTGAAGCAATCTTTGAGATTTTAAAATGTTGGTTTGGTTGAAACGATGCCTCTAGGAATCGAATGAGGTGACTATTGAACAGATTATTAATTTTATACGCAGTGTCAATCCAAGAGACGGGACGGGTTACTTCTTACACAAAGATACACTCAATATTAATTTTGCTTTTATCCATTTACTTTATATTCATACACACAGATTTTAGAATATTAAAAACACTTTTGGGTGTAACTCAAACGTAACATGATTAATTGATTATGCCTACAGGACATGAATCACACATTTACGAAAGAGGCTTTCGCTTTTACAATAGCTTGATACGTGTAGATATGCGGTGTACAAAGTCAATGCTTGTAAGTACGTTACCTTTATGATTGACAAAAAATGTACAATTTTTTATCATTGTATGTTAATTGTTTGAACATGCAAACTTATTAGAAAAAAGTATCGAATTGAACTTAAGAGATTGAATAATGATTGTTCACTAAATATGAATTCAAAATCAGTGTAGAATGGAGTGAATGGAGTTGTATCTTTCAGCGTTGTTTCTGGCTTAGATCAGCTGTTTCAAATACCAATGACCAAAGACAGGTGGGCACACTGAACCATTCATAACTTCCGTTTCACGAAAGAATGAAAAGGACATTCTTTTTCTTTAAGAGAACAGATGAGTTCTCCTAGACTCCAGAAGTGATGTCTCAACATACGATATGATTGGTCACAGCCACGTAACCGGAAGGGAAGCAGTCTGCAGAGTTTGTTGTGTCTGCTACTGTGCCATTGTGATCTGTGGTGTTGTGGAGAAGCAGTGAAAGTATTGCATTGTTGGGTCCAAACCCAACGGAACATGTCATGGACCAGCGAGAGTTAGTGAAAGCCAACAGCCTCCACTGTCACTTTTTAGAGTTTTATCTCATAGTGTGGAGTCACTGACCCTCCTTTCTTTTGGATAGCTAATCTACTGGTATACCTTGGTACTTGGCCATATGAAGAGGTCTGACTGATACCCATGTTTATAGTGTACTTCGAAGCTCGTTCAGTTGATCTTTGACTACGTTGAAACGCCAATCGCGATTCTCGGAGCAAACTCATCAGTCCAAACCACATATAGTTCGATGGTCCAAACCTATAGAGAAAAGTTTTACGAACACCGAAAGGTAAATTACTTAAAAATATAAGTTCTCAAGAGACCCAAAAATACCTTTTTAGAGAAAAAATTTCAAAAAAGAGTGGTATGGGCTTATACATCAACATCACATTATGGGCAAAACACGACAAGGGTCTTGGCCGTTTTCTTACAACGAACATAACACATCCAAATATATTTTTACAAGATCTAGGATTTGTTTAAAATTTAACAACTCTAATAGAATCAACTATTATAGTTTTATACAAAAGCGAAGCATTGAACACGTTTTTTTATGATTATAGGAAGAATAGAAAAGTAACCTTTTTAAAAACTTACTTTAATGAAAACTTCAAGAGACATTTGTTATCAATAAACAATAAAACTTACTATTCCATGGTCATAGAAAAAAAAACATTCTAGTAAGATATCTTAGAGGTTGATACTATTGAACAATATTCAAAAGAAAACATGAGATACATTTATTGTCATGTGACGTCACAGAACGAAGTTTTCTCATAAAGATAAACTCAAAGGCCACAGATATGACGTCGGTTTGCTTGGAAGTGGTGGTGGTAGTCGTCGGCACTCGGCAATGCATCAGCATCAGTGTTCCTCGGGTCGTTGAGCAGTATTGACGCCGTTCGCTCGTGTACTGTCTCTAACTGACAGCTCCCTCCTTCAGCTGATTTGTGTTGTCTTGTCAATACTGACATTGACTTCTAGGCTGCGAACTGTCAATGTTTCGCGAGTGATTGTGAAGGTGGAATGTATCTTTAAACATAATGTAGACTTAAGTGTGGTGGGAAAGTGAGTGTTTAGTGTAATTTCAATCCCGGTGCTCAAATGTCATATCGTTCCTTTATAATTTATCTCTAAACTAATATTAATTTCGCTTTCAAATTACGACGCAGTAACAACATAACCTCAAAATGCCCGCTGTGATATCCAAGTATCTCGAAGAGACCGCTGTAAAATATAATATAAACAAACAAAACTGTAGCAAAGCCTTGGTTGCTGCTGCTGTTTTAATGTACGGTTGTAAGATTAGTTACCCCCTGGTGCAAAACCTATATAATAGGACTAACAAAATAAACTATACCAAGTTTAGGTGTAGCCCCAATGAAAGTAGTCAAAGTGGACAGTCTGATTCAGAAGATGAGAAGTTACCACCAACAAACAACAACCTTGCAGTACCAAATGGTAATGTTAAAAATGGTGAATATGTCGACAACAAGAGAAAACCCAAGGTGCGACCAATCGCTCCTGGATTCAATAAGGAATTTATAATTCAGCTTTACAAGCTTATTCGGCTAATGATTCCTGGTGTATATACCCGTGAAGTAGGATTACTTATCCTTCATACGCTAGCTCTGGTAACTAGAACATTTATGTCCATCTATGTGGCAACCATGGAGGGAAGAATGGTTAAATTCATTGTGAAGAAAGATGTGAAAAGTTTTTCATTCATGTTATTGAAGTGGTTAGGTGTGGCTCTTCCAGCAACGTTTCTCAATTCTACCATCCGTTACCTGGAAAACAAACTGGCTTTGGCCTTTAGGTAAGTGTATTATAAACTTAGACTTATCATTATTCATAAAAGTAATGGATTCCCAGGTCCTATGCATTACTAGAGAGTTGAGAGAAATCCTAAATAGAAATCTTTATTGTTATTGATCATAGATAGGCCTAGTTAAATAAATGATTCAAAGTAGCGTTCAAAACTTTAAAATACAAAGACAAGTTAAGGATATAAGTTACATTATCAAAAGCTGTCTATAATGTTACAGCTTGGTGAGATGCATCGTTGCATATACAGTAGACTCCCCCTTATCCGGAAACCTTTTAACCAGACATCGGTTTAACCGAACTACGCTCAGTAGAGGTGACATCTCTTTATCTGTACAATTTTTATCAGAACATCGGTTTACCCGGAGTAGATCGGCAGGAAGTAGGCGGTACTGATAGGAATATTCTTGTGGAAAAGATTTGAGACCAGTTATCACATGTATAAATACAATGCATTCATAAATTTAAGTCAAATACTGTATACAGTATGCATTTAAACGGTCCGTTTTAACAAATTTTTGAGGACGTCGGTTTTACTGGAAAAACTATTATCCAGAATGGCCTCGGTCCCAAGGAGTCCGGATAAGAGGGAGTCTACTGTACTGTTTAAAAGCAGACATTTGATATTGGGAACTTGTAAATGGACAAGATGGAGAGATCACCTGCATGTGATGCAGAGCCTCTCTCTTTATAATATTGTTCAAAATGTACCATTGAACCACATTTTAACACATTGTGTTTTGGCCACTAGGGACATAAAAAGAAAAATTAATCGGACCCAGGTATGTCTTACCTAAGGGCCTATGTATGGAAATTTAGTAAAAAAACAAGTTATATATTATCTGTATGATGTAAGGTAAGTTTTAAGAGAGTGTCTGATCAACAAATTGTGTCTGTAGACCTCTAAGGAATCAATATACAATTCTTTCTTCTCCATTTGAATTGGGGGTAATACAGTGAGAAACCAAAATAAAGCTCATTTTCTCCTCTTTGAGACTTGCTAATTGTTAATTCAATGAAATAGTGGAATCATGAGGTTTTTATTTTCTTTAGAATTTCTAATAAAGCTGGGGTTTCCGTTTTCCCTCGCAGTGGTTCACAAAACAGTTCATAACTCCTGAACTGTTTGAGATATTTTGATGAATAAAAAATCAAAATGAAAAGCTAATTTTTTCCTCTACAATCCACTTGCCCAAAAATCAAGTAATATGCAGTGGAAAGCTAAAATAAGAGGGGGGGTACACTTACCCCAGATCAAGGGGGAAATGTACACCCCAAACATCATTTTATGGAAAAAATTCTTAAAAACACAAAATTCATATTTTTACAAAATAAAAAGTACATATATCCAAAACTTTCCAAATAATAAGCTCAGCAAATTTGATTTGTATAGCACCTACAGGTATATTTTAATCTGTGGTCAAAGTTGTACTATGATTTGGGCCGTACGCTTATCCTACTTGAACTTACCCAATTATTCATTGCTAACTAAAATGTTTATTGCTCATTTTAAGATTTGGGTTAAAAATGCGATACCGGATTGTAAAAATATAGGTACGGTACCGATAAGTATTTTTTGGGTTGGAATGTAAAGCTTAAAGTGTGCCAATTCATTCTACACTCACCTTTTATTGAGATATAGGGATTGCTTAGTATCATTATTGGTCTTTACTGGTCATTGTATGATGATCAATCAGTTACTCAACTTGTTCCGCATTCTATATTAGGCCTAAAAACTTTGTTTGGAAATAAATTGAATTTTCTCAACACCAACTTTCTCTTAGTTTTATTGCACTACAGTGCAGTATGACAAAGATGCCAAAGTCTAGGAAAACAAACCATACCGGTAGTCATGTTGAAACTACACACATAGTATAACCATAACTAGTTCACTAGGTCGCTTGCTCAATGCCAACTCAGATCTATAGTGTGGGGTGATATATGGTTGGTTATTGATTTGTTTAGTTTGCACTCAAGACTATGCCTACGCCCCTGCCCCATACAGTAATAACAATTTGAAACAATTGATACAAAATTATTGTCTCAACTGAGAAATAAATAAATTCAACTTGGGTAGTGTAGAATTTTAAGGGATTAGAGGTATTTTGTTTGCTTATTAAATGTCTCTTACTAAATTATGTCCCATTTATTAATACTTAGTTTGCAATTTAAATTGTTACTATGGAAATTAAGATTTTTTTCTGTTTAAGATGATTTCTTCTTCATCAAGGATTTTTTTTGCTGGAAATAAATATGGGCAGATATTTAAACATAAAATAAATAGATTAATTGCAATTAATACTAACATAATTATTCATTTGTAGAGACAAACATGCATAAAGCAAACGTGAAGTTACTTTGTTGAATTTTTTTGTTACTTTTGTACTATTTTAGAACTAGGCTATGCCAGCAAAACTCTGTGCATCTCTAATTCATGAGTATTATTTATATTAACTGTAAAATTTAACCAACATGTTTGAAAACATTTCCTTAAAGTGCTGAAAACTTAACTGAAACTGATAAGTATCTAGGCACCTCTAAGGTAGGTAGATAGGTTAGTCACGATGTTTTCTATTTAAAACCCACTAATATTGCTGATAGCTAATCCACTATTTTTCTGCGCTAATAGGAGGTGGTTTTAATATCACACTAGTTTAAATTTTTTGACACTCATCTAAATATAGGCTACTAAATGCAGATGATACCTGAAATAAATGTGAATCCATCTAGTTAATTATACAGTCTATTTTGTTTTTCTACATTAATGAGCTCATTTTCCCACAGAAAAATTACTTTACATTATACCTAAAGAAACTATTAAAACAAAAAATGTTTCTTTATTTAATCACAACAGGTCAAAATCAAAACTGATTGTTGGAAAGTAGCATTCCTTCTTTGTAAACTAATGAGGTGCTCATGTCATTACAAACTTTTCTCATTATATTTCTAAGATTACTAAATAAATTAACGGCAAGGTAGGCTGCATGTCATGTAGTCATGCTGTCTTTATTGGGCAACTCACTGGTGGAACAAACATACCATGACATTTTGTTTAGATCTGGCTATTTCACTGGTTACGGCTATTGGTATTGAGGGTGATCATGGTTTAATCTAAACTAGGCGAACCCGTGCGAATTCGCACGAATAAATTAGGATAGCCTATATTGTAGCAATGTAGAAGTTACGTCGTTGTATCGACGTTGGTCTTGAGCTCTATCGTTGGCTATATACGTTTTTTTGCTGTTCAGTAGGAGTATTTTGCAGGACGGAGCTTATCATGCTGAAAACTTGCGCGAATGGATTAATATCAACCAAATGTTTAGTCAAAATGTGCATGAGTTCAGTGCTGCAAAAGCCATTAGCTTTGTTTAGTATTCTTTCTTGAACATCGGTTTCGACGTCGTAGATATACATTTGGGCATATGTGGGATACTCCCCTTCTGACGGTTGAAAGGTGCCAATAGAGTGATGAATTGTGTCGTGCACCTTATACATGAAAGGCCCTCCACCGTTATGTTCTTCAATTTTAGCTCGAGTGCTGACCATTGCGAGCGCAGAGTTGTACAATCTAATGTTCTCTTTGTAGTTTCTGCTCAAATTATTTGCTCCATTAGGTAGGCTCTGGATATAATAACTTTCTCGGTATGGTGGTAGATTAACTTTTCCTTTATTGCAGCAGGATGAAAATCCTTCGCCTCGTCCTCTTTGTCCACACCACATTTCTGACATTTTAATGCCATCTCGCCGAGTGAATGCTGCTGAGTTCTTGTATTTGTCAGTGTAATTTTGTAAGTACACGTTGCCACTAACTGTTCCAGCTCCTCGTCTGGGCGCATTACGTTTTGCATTGCTTGCCGTATTTTGACTCGCAGTTTCCGACCTGCAATATTTCTTTGTCGTCGGGTCCTTGGTATGTTTAAACTAAAATAAAATGTAAAACTTTTCTCCCGTCGTGTCCTATAGGTAATATTTCTTTGCCGGGTTTCTAATTATTTTTTTAAAACATGCAAACTGTTTACATTTCAAAACCAAACAAAACAGCTGGGATTTCTTTTACTTATGTATTGACATCTGTTTCAGAATATAATAACATTCAAATCAATCACAATGTTATTCTTATGGAAGGAACTTTGAGGGCAGCCCACGCCCTTCAAAAGATATATTTTGAAAATCTAAAGCCAGTTTGCACATCTACACACCTAGACGAACATTTTGGTATATAATATGTGGGGTTAAATCTTAAAACAAAAAAGCCTTATTGTTCACAAAGTTTCATGTCGCGTATTAAATATATAGATAACTTCTATGTTAACATGATTCATATGTATGTTTAGTTTAGCATATAAGTACTTTTAAGTAAACATGCAGTTTTGCAATTTTAAATCCCAACATCTTATTACTCCGATTATATACGTAGTTTTTACAGAATTTGACGTCAAAATGACGTAAAAATATCTTTTATATTGACATCTTTTACATCAATTTTACACAACATTTGTACAATCTGAGTAAAAAAATGTGTGTTAGTCCTTCATTCTTTACCAAGCCATCCATATACTTTACACTATGAGAAATATCTTTCTATTTTTCTAAGGTAGGTCTGATATTACAATATTGTAGTACTCGGCCACTCACTCTTTAAAAGTTACCATGCAATTGAGTGGAGCGAGAGAAGTTCTTATACTACACTCCTGCTTTTGTTTTAAAAGTACTCCTCCTGAACAGCCGAAGCGATCCACATGAAATTTAGCACACTTAGGGTACAGTACGGTAATTAACTATGGGAAGGTACCGGTATAAATCTGAAACGGTACAAATCGGACGAAAGGACTTTTCACTACCGTACACAAATTTAATTTTTAAGAAATTTAACATGGACCTTATAGGTTTATTGGTCGCCATGACATTATTTGCATGATAACAATAAATAGGTAAACAAAAGAGTTGTAACATCTATGTTAGTCTACGAATCATCTAAAATAGCACATTACA